GGGGGTACGGCTGGGGGGCGACTTCCCCGTGGACAGGTGGAAGGCCGCCTGCGAGGGTGACCAGGCCGGCGGGGTCAGCGCGCAAACCGGATGTGCTGGGTCCAAAATCACTGATTAGTTTGGGGGCCGCGATAGCTCGAGTCCTCCCACGCCACTGCCGGGCTGCAGGTCCCGGGCTTTCCCCGCGCGGCTGCCGGCTCCGCTAGAGGAGCCGTCTCGGGTCCAGCGCCCGCGTCCTCCGCGTCCTCCGCGACCTCCTGACGCCACCTGAGGGCCTCAGGGGGACCGGGCTCCCGAGGCACCGCCGGCCGCCAGGCGGACGAACCTCGGCAGTGGCGGGTGATGGGGACGCCGGGGACCGCGGCGCTGAGGGCGGCCGCTCACCCGCGAGCCGACGCCCCGCCCCGCCCCCCGCCCCGCCCCCAGCCCCGCCCCGCGAGCCGACGCCCCGCCCCCAGCCCGCCCTCCTCTTCCCGGGCCCCCGACGCCCCGCCCCTCTCCGTGCGCCAGTGGCCACCTCGCCCGGCACCACCCCGCGGGCTCCTCGCATTGGCCGAGTCCCCGCGGCCACGCCTCCCCCCAGACTGAGGCCGCTTATTGGACGCGGCGGCCGTGGCCAATCGGAGCCGCTCTTGCTGCGACGCGGTGGCCGGAAGCGGAGCGAGGTAGAAGCTGGGTCGGCGCGGGTTCGGTGCCAGAGCCGTTGCGGGGCCGCGTGGAGCGCGTGCGGGGTCTCCGGTCCAGGTGGGTCTGTCGGATTGGGGCGGGCGCCGCGCGCGGCCGGGCGCAGGGCCGGCCGGGTTCCCAGGGCCGCGACTCCCCGCTGTCTCCTCCCGCAGGGCGCGGCATGGGCGTCCTGGCCGCGGCGGCGCGCTGCCTGGTCCGGGGCGCGGACCGGATGAGCAAGTGGACGAGCAAGCGCGGCCCGCGGAGCTTCAGGGGCCGCAAGGGCCGGGGCGCCAAGTACACCGGCTTTCTCACCGCCGGCTGGAGGTTCGTGCAGATCCAGGAGATGGTCCCGGAGTTCGTCGTCCCGGATCTGACCGGCTTCAAGCTCAAGCCCTACGTGAACTACCGCGCGCCTGCGGGCGAGGAGACGCCCCTGACGGCCGCGCAGCTCTTCAGCGAGGCCGTGGCGCCTGCCATCGAAGAGGACTTCAAAGACGGTACCTTCGACCCTGACAACCTGGAAAAGTACGGCTTCGAGCCTACACAGGAGGGCAAGCTCTTCCAGCTGTACCCCAGGAACTTCCTGCGCTAGCGGGGCTTGGGGGCTGCGAGCCCTCCCGGGGAGGGGCGGCCTGCCCTCACCTCTTTTCCATTAAAGGCCTTTGCCAGCTCTGCGGTGTTTGTGTTTTGACCTCAGGTCATGGCAGAGTGTGCAGCAGGACAGATTTCAGTGCAGAGACCTAGGCAGCGTTCTCGTGCACACTCTGCGCAGTGTGAATCTCTTTGGAAGTCATCTTCCCAGCCAGAAGGTTCTGGGAACCTGCCAAGGGCAAGAACGCATTACTCAGCTTGCAGGAGAAGCAGTTTACAAGGCAGATTGTAAATGACAGCACTGGTGTCAGTTCATCCCCCGAGTTACTCACCCAAGGAACAAAGATCTAGAGATGGGGTCTCACTGTGCTGCCCATACTGGTCTTGAACTCATGGGGTCAAGTGATCCACCGCCTCCGCCTCCCAAAATGCTGGGATTACAGGTGTGAACCACTGCGCGGCCTAGGAAGATTTGTCACTATATTATATTAGCATGTTGTATCATCAGAAATAAAGGGATAGAAGTGCATGTATTTTGCTTCTAGTCACCTATATATCGTATTAGTAAATGCTGAGGATTTGACAGGTAGTGGCCTGCATTTCAACCACAGTTCCTCCCAGAGAGGTGACAGCCTTCACAGCAGGAGTTAGATGTAACACACACAGTTTGTTCCTGTGGGGTCCAGCCCTACAGGGTCATGGGGTGTCCCCTATCGCTGTGCAAGGCGCAGGATCCAAGAAATAAAAGACAGGACACCAAAGGACAAAGAAAGTGCAGCTGGGCTCAGGGGGCCTCACTGCTTACAAGCAGAGACAGGCGAGGCCCCAAACATCCAGGAGCATCTATTTATTGGGTACAGGTTAGCGGGCAGGGTAGTGAGTGGGGTCATCTTAAGGACAGTGATAGGGTCAAGACAATCACGTGAGCAATAAACAAGAGGTCCACCCCCATTAGGTCACCTAGGCTAGGAAATGGGCAGTGCGCAGCAAGGGGGCCACCCCCATTGGGTCTCCGAGGCAAGGAAGTGGGCCGTGCGCAGTGAAGGGGGTGCAGTGTGCAACACTTCTTATCTAGGGGCAGGCTGCTTCTAAGGAATTCTATCGGAGGATGCTTTTGAATCGGCACAGTAAAGTTGTCAGGGTACATAGCCACCTGCTGGCAGCTTCCAATGATTCTATACGAGGATGCTTTGAGTCAGCATAGCAGCAACAGAGCTGGCAGGGTCTACAGCCATCTGCTGGCAGCTTCCAGTGATTTCTATAGGAGGATGCTTTGAATCAGTACGTAGCAGCATGGCTGGTGGGGTTTTAAGCCGTCCGACGCCCGCAGGCTTGCCGGCCTGAGGCCAGCCTTCCACAAGACGCAAGGTACTGCAACTCCTTTTCAGGAGGAGTGACTTGCTCCAAGCCTGTCATACAGCGGGTATCTTTATGATACTGAACGCTGCCGCCTGGGCCAGCCTGCTATGTAGCGCATGGCCTTTCAGGCAGAGGCACTACCACCTGGGCCACAGATTCTTGTCCTGGTATAACTGTTTTTCCCTTAAATCTTGCTCTGCACCGTGTCTGCTCTAGACATTCCTCCGACTATAAGCAAGATATGATTATGTATGTATAGCTGTTTTTCCCTTAATTCATGCTCTGTACTGGGTCTGCTCTAGACATTCCTCTGACTACAAACTAAGGTATGATTATATGTAAAAGGATTATATAGAAAGAAGTCAGCAGTAAATTATTCTTCAGGCACTACTTGTGCCACGGGTCTGCCTAGCTCTCCTTCCTCAGTGCCCAAAAAGGGTATTACCCACATGTTCCCACACCTGGAGCCACCATCTGTCCAGTATTTGGGAGCTAATCCATGAGTGCTACAATGAGTGTTCCCTACCGACTCCACATATTTCAAACTGACGACCCTCAAGGCAACTCGGAACACACCCTCCCTTTTACTTACGTGCACAGAGATCCAACACAGGTTGAGTGTCCTTATCCAAAATGCCTGGGGCTGGGTGCAGTGTTTCATGCTTGTAATCCTAGCACTTTGGGAGACCATGGTGGGCAGCCTGCCTGAGGTCAGGAGCCTGGCCAACATGCTGAAACCCATCTGTACTAAAAATAGAAAAATTAGCCAGGCATGGTGGTACACACCTGTAGTCCCAGCTGCTTGGGAGGCTGAGGCAAGAGAATGACCTAATCCTGGGAGGTGGAGGTTGCATAGATGTGAGATGGAGCCACTGCACTCCAGCCTGAGACTCTGTCTCAAAAAAAAAAAAAAAAAAGCTTGGAACCAGAAGTGCTTTGGCTTTCAGATTTTAGAATATTTGCCTATACATAATGAGATATCTTGGGGACGGGATACAAGTCTAAACATGAAATTCAATTTTGTTTCATATACACCTTATACACATAGTCTGAAGGTAGTTTTATACTATATATTTTTTAGGCTAGTCAAGTGCAGCTGTGAGAGAAAGAACAAATCTATAACTGATTGTAATCAGTTCTTTATACAATATTATTTTTATTATTGAATTTTTTAGAGATAAGCGCCATTGCTTTGTTGCCCCTGGCTCACTGCAGCCTCAACCTCCTTGAGCTCAACAATCCTCCGGCCTCAGCCTCCCAAGTGTCTAGACCACAGGCACATGTACCAAACCTGGCTAATTTTTTTTTTTACTTTTTACAGAGACTGGGTCTTGCTAAGTTGTGCAAGCAGTCCTTCTGCCTCAGCCCCTCCCAAAGTGCTGGGATTACAGATCACTGTATTTTTAATAATATACTCGTCACGAGTTCCACTGCTGGATTTTCCAAAGGTTTTGGGATTCTGGATTTTTGGACTGGCTGTGCTCCATCTATACAAGCATTTCTGTGCCATGATGAAGCATTAATGTTCACTTTAAACATGTTATAGTCATGTTTTTCCAAAAATTTCATTTAATATAAAGTTTCTCCAACTAGTACAAAAGGCTGAAAGTCAAAATCTGCCTGAGAAACTAATAAATCTGCAGGCTGGGAACCCACCCCCTCCCCAGCTGCACCCCCACACCCCGACCCACCCCCTCCCCAGCTGCACCCCCACACCCCGGACCCACCCCCTCCCCAGCTGCACCCCCACACCCCG